TATATATATAATTAATATATTATATATAATATATATATAATATTATAATTATATTAATATAATAATAAAAAATAAAAAATAATAAATAATAATAATAAAATTATATATAATAATTTAAATAATTTTTTATATATATAATTTTTATATATAAATAAATTTTTATATATAATAAAATTAAAAATAAATAATAAATTAAATAAAAAATAAATAATAAATAAAATAAATTATATAAAAAAATAAATAAATAAATAAAGATAAAATTATTTTTAATTCGTGTTAGTACTTTGAAGAAACATTGAAATTATAACAAATTTGTTAAAAAATATTATATACTTAACCACCCTTTTATATTTAAGATTCAAGCTAGCATATTAAAGCACACAATCAAATCATTGTTCAATTATAAACTATAATTACTATATATATATATATAGTAAAATAACTATTATATATAATAAGATTCTTTTTATATAATGATACACATATACATAAATTGGAATTACAGACACAAGATTGAATGTTCTTTGATAGAATTAGTTTAATAATTCAGGTGTTTACATAAGAAAAAAAAAAAATATGACTATTGACACTTAAAGCAACATAGGAATAGGATAATGGGGAAAATATGAAACAATAAAAGATAAGAAATATTTTTTATAAGTATTACCAATTTACATATAAAAGGTAAACGTACTTTAAACTATTTTTAAAATAAAAAATAAAATATATATATATAGAGAGAGAGAGAGGACACACTAAAAAAAAAAAAGGCCCAATTGTAATACACAACGTGATAATATTATCATATTACATTTTAAATTATTCATCGTATTTTTTTGCAATCAATGTTAAAAAAAAAAGTTATATATATGAACGAACAAACAAACAAACAAAACAAAACAAAACAAAAAAGAAAAAATATATTTATTGATAAGAATTTACCTTGAATATAATAAAGATTAAATTATAAAAATATATCTACGTATGTGTACGCATATATATATATATATATATATATATATATGTATATTAGGAATAAACGAATCGAGAGAGAAAAAAAGAACAAATAAAAAAAAAAAAAAGAAAAATGGTCAGAAATTATTGTAATTGCAAAACGTATTAGTAATATCAAAGCTAAATTTGTAAAACAGCACNACGACCGCGTTTAATTCCTAATTTTATTTGATTAATAAAAATAATATTATACAAATATAATTAACAAAAAGAAAAAAAAAAAAAAAAGAAATATGAATGGACGAGATTAACCAAAAAGGGTAGAACAAATAAAAAAAAAAAAAAGAAAAATGGTCAGAAATTATTGTAATTGCAAAACGTATTAGTAATATCAAAGCTAAATTTGTAAAACAGCACGCGTCGATGTTTCATTCTCGTACCGGAAGTTGTTGTTTCCTCATGCCCATATTTCTCCCGATCGATGATTTGTCACACATTGTCAGTATTAACTGGAATTTATATACAAACAAAGTCAAGGAATTCGATTATTACCAACAACAAAAAATATATATATATTTATACGATTTTGCAATTGGTTTTTTTGTTTGTTCTCTAAATGAAAAAATGGATTTTATACAGAGGGAAATATATTATATACACTTTGTTTATTTTTATGTGTGTTTCGTAAGAACACACATTAAAAATATTTTTCTTGTTTTTTTTTTTTTGCTAGCTGTAATAAAAAATATATATATAATGTAATATAAATAAAAAAAATGTAACCTACTGAACAGCAATGATTCCACAAGCCCAACGATCTCCAGCATTTCCTGTCGAATTAGAAACAGGACTGCCACCTTTACCCAAATCATCTTCCTGAGAATGTACTACTATAGCACGGCCCAAAATATTATTAGGACCACTAAGAGATATAATGTTGTCGGTGATATCAATAACAGCTTCTCCTGCATCATTTGCTTTGATATTACCCAAATCGCCAACATGTCTGATTGTATCCCCCGGAGCACCATGAGTATTCTATACGTATATACAATTTACACATATACATTTATGTGTATATTAAATATATATATTATTATATTTATATTAAGTATATCAAGTATATTATATATTAGTATATAAATATACATATATAGTATATAATTACTAATAAATATTAAATATTATTAATAGTAATATAATATAATTATTATAAATACTAATAAATATATAAATACTATTATATATTATAT